ATACTCGAAAAATAATTAATTGAGAATTAATTATTATTTAAATAATGTGATTATTTAAATTTGAATTTGAACACATCTAGATTTATCCATTTAAACTTATTTGATAAGTTGTTCAATTTAGAACTCAAATTAATTTAAGTTTGACTTAAATTCGAATTTGAATTTGAATTAAAATTGGACTACTGGATAAAGGATGATTTCTCTTCCTTCCCTATCTGTTTTTTGGCGCCACACACAATAAAGAAAATCCCTATCATGGCCGGCCACTAAAGGATAAGGTGGAAAGGATTTTTTGTTCCAAAATTCATATTAGAGATAAGGATTTGATTCTGTTTTAAAGTTTGACTTCTACTCTTTAAATATGAGAATGATAGAAAATTGTGGACACAATTTTTAAAGGATTATTCAGCACTAAATTAGTAGTGGCCGAATTTCTCATTGGAAAAAGAGAGCAAAAATATTTTTTTCTCTAAAAATTTCACATCGTGTATGCGTTGGTGTTTGTGGAAACTCGCCAGAAACTGTGGCCACGGTGTCGTTCAAGACGGTGGTGTGGTTCTGGATGGAGAATGTTCACTCAGTGATGAGCCAAAGGTTTGGAGCAACCACTAGAAAGATAAATGGTGATGTGGAATGTGACGGCAAAGAGCGTGACAGAGTTAAAGCCCGCGCCAACTATTACACTGACTACTGTAATCAGCTTGGTGTTGATCCTGGATCCAATCTCACTTGCTAATTAATTATTATTAGTGTACTTAATTATAAGGATGTACTTGTAAGAATAATTAATCAATAAGAGTCCTTCGACGGCAATCAGTTTCTTCTGATTGCTGATATATATATATATATATGAGTAGAGTGTACAAGGACTTTGATACAACTCATAGAATAAAAAAAGTATAATATTGGAATTAATTTGAAAATTATAATATGCATGCAACGACAAAACGAACAATAAAATAAGGAAAATAAGAGAATAAAAATTTATGTCATCTTCTCATGATTTACCGAAGGATCATGTTATACATGTAATTGAGGCCTTTGATTTCTAATGTTTATTATTAGAAAGGTACAGTACTTTTTTTGCTTCCCCAAACTCACTATTATTTTGCATGCTTATGCTTGTTAGAACTATCTTGCCTATGTACATTTTTTGAATGGTTAAATGACAACTCAGAGTTTGTTGAGAAATTGTGCAATATGGCATCATATTTCTTTTCATTATTAGATAGAAACTCATGGTAGAAAGTGTCATACAATTCAAGTAACCTTTTTTCTTTTCTTCACTCAGTCAAAATGAAAATCTACAAAGTAAAGTACAAAGTTTCATAGAGTGGAATAATTCCTCTAATTAAGTTGGGGGTGAAAGTTCTCAAATTAATCTGGTGTTGAAAGTTCTAAACTTTTTCAAGGTTCTTTTAAAATCCAAAATAGCTAGCCAAGATTCATTTTGAGGAGTTAGATTTTAGAACTTACATGCAAGTTTTTGATGAAAAAGATATTTGAAAAGAGAGAGATGATGGATAAAATTGAAAACGACGACAAAGAGGGAGACGGAGAAAGTGAGAAAAAATTAACAAAGGAGAAGAAAATGACCGTAGAACGATAAGGTGATATTTGTTTTAAAGGTTCTGCTAGGGCTGTTCATGGGTTGGGTTGGTGTGGGGTAGGGTTTTTTCTTCCCCCGCCCCAAATGATGCGGGTTGCACATATTTTGCCCTAATGATGTTAGAAAAATTTCACAACCCAATGATGTTTGGGTTAGGTTGGGGCAGTGCGGGGTGGGTTAGGTGGTCGGTTTCAACATTCAAATAATCAAAGACTCAAAGTTTAATCCAACATAAACTTCATCATTAAATAGAAATAATAACTCCAACATTCAAAAGATAGAAATTTAAATTTCAATCCAACATCAAACGTGAAGCGGAGTAGTCCATCCAACATCAAACATAAAACAAACATAAATTAGTCTTAACATAAAGCAAATATAGAGGCTTAATTCAAACATGAAGAAACTAGAGAGTAGAAATGAGTTGCCTTCCTAGGGTTAGATATTAGAGTAGGCAAGTTAGAGCATGGGTTGAGTTGGGGAGTGCGGGCCATTATACGCCTAATCCACACCCCGCCCCAAAACTTTGGGCCAGACATTGAATGGGCCGAAAAAAAAAAATTTAATATTAGAAATTACATTTTTCGAGTTAGGTTGGAGTGGGGTGAGTTGGGCCTACGGGCTTTGCAGGTTTATGAACAGCCTTAGGTTCTGCATAGTTTTGAAAAGTACTTATCATATTTCTATACAAAAACTAAAAGTTTAAGAAAGAATCTCATCCCAAAATAATATGGTAAAAATCGTGTTTAAATAGTAAATCCTGAGAAGTCGTTGCTTCGTTCTATAATCACAAGCCTTCTAGCGTTTTTTTTTTTTAGCAAAACATGAAATGAAACTACCATACTGATCATGATTAGCTGCAAAATATTTGAGTATGAATTGGCATCCTTCAAGCCTGCAGAATCATATTACAAAATACATACGAAGAACTTTTAAACTTTATATATGTACATATATATATAAATATATAAATTATTTTTTATATATATATATATATATATAAAAGATTATCCGTTGGAGAAATCTTCTCCATATCTGTTTTATTCGTCATCGAATATACTTATAAATTTCAAAATTATATCAATGTAAAACAAAAATAAGTGTAAATTAAATTTAAAAAAAAAAAAATTAGGTTCTACACAAAACACTATTTGCAAATCAAACTTAATAATAAAGCCCTCAAAACACTAATTTTGTTTGAAAATTTAATATTACATATATTATTTATATATGTATAATTTATGTATATTCGGGATGAAAAATACTTTTCCATCCCTATCCCGCTATAATTTAGAGACAAGATTTTGTCCTCATCTCTGCCTTCATTCTCAATCTTTATTCTCATCTCCGCATGAACCCGTCATCTGAGAATTATCGCCACCCGCCACCCGCCAACGACAGGTAAAAGGTTGGGTATATATTTATTGGGTGTTAACTGATGTACTATGCTGTTGAATATTGATGTTTGACCATGAGATAATCAACAAGAACCACTTCTTGGCGTAATTTAAGGCATAATCTACGCAACTTTTAACAAAGAATCGAATTTCATAATGACTTCTAAAGGTTCCCTACTTCCCTTGCCCAAATTAAACGTCTCCCAGAAGCTTCGGCTTCTTACAATTTTTCTTGGAAAGTTCAGCCATCTCTTCCCCCCGGAAGAATTATGTGGCGTGTGTGGAAAAAATGGCAATATTATATATACATTTTTTACTATCAGATTATATCAAATCTTATCAGATAAAAATATATATATATAGAATCTTAACGGAATTTGATTAATTAAGGATCAGTTCAAAATTGTATCCATCAATATAGTAGTATTTGAAGCTAGATGGAAGAAAATTACAAGAATTTGGAAACATCTGCAGACACACATTTTGGAGAAGATATCTACTTATAATTTTCTTGGACTAAGTCAAAGTCAAGAGTCTCTTGCCCAACTAGCCCTCTAGAAAAAATCTTCCATTTTCCAAAGCTATGATGATGCCATTTCACACACAAACGTTTCAGTTTGTTCACTATAAATAACCCAATTCCTAAACCTTCATATCTCATCCAAATACACATTTTTTTTCCCCATCTTCACCAATTAATATCTACCACAAAATGGCCTCTCCCAATCCAAGCAAAACACTAATGACCCTCATTGTGTTGGGAACAATCCTTGTCGGGGCTCTTCCCAAAAATTATGTGATGGCTCAAAATTGTGGGTGCAGCTCTGACCAGTGCTGCAGCAAATATGGCTACTGCGGCACCGGCGACGACTACTGCGGCGACGGGTGCCAAAGTGGACCATGCTATGCCACACCAACCTCATCAAACAATGTGGGTGACATTGTGACACCAGAATTCTTCAGTGGCATACTCAACAAGGCCACTGGTGACTGTCCAGGCAAGAGCTTCTTCACCCGAGACGCTTTTCTCAACGCTGCCAACGCCTACCCTCAATTCGGTAGCGGTTCCGCCGATGAGTCTAAACGCGAGATTGCAGCTTTCTTTGCTCACGTCTCCCATGAGACTGGATGTAAGATCCTTTAACCCAACCTTATTCCATTTATATGTGCAACCTTTCAAAACATATACACCACAACTTTGCATACGTATAATACCCTAATTTCAAATGTATAACTAGTGCAAGAAATTGAAATAGACAGCTGTTTCACGTCGTGGATTTGACTCTTTTATCTTATTTATCTTTATTTCTATCATTCCTTTTAATCATCAATCTTATCACGTCAATTAACATTTCATGTAAATTAAAATATCATGTTACATCAAAATGATAATTTCTTTGGTATAAACTTCACGTCATGATTAATTTATGGTATTATACTCATGATATTATACCATAAATTAATATAGCACTTGTATAGTTTATATATATGCTAGCTATAACTTTTAGTTTGCATCTTTGCATAATTATAACACCAAATCAGCGACAATGATAATGCCTATTCCATATTGGAGAAAGGTTATATATACAGTGCAGACTAATGCATGTGACTTCAATATATTTGTGAAGTTTTGTGCCATATAGAAGAGACAGACGGTGCAAGTCAGGACTACTGTGATGAGACAAGAACAGACTATCCATGCAACCAAAACAAGAAATACTACGGCCGTGGGCCCCTCCAGCTGACGTGGAACTACAACTACGGAGCAGCTGGGAATGCCATCGGCTTCGACGGGCTGAACTCGCCGGAAACTGTGGCCACAGACGCCACGGTGTCGTTCAAGACGGCGGTGTGGTTCTGGATGGAGAATGTTCACTCAGTGATGAGCCAAGGGTTGGGAGCAACCACTAGAAAGATAAATGGTGATGTGGAATGTGACGGCAAAGAGCCTGACAAAGTTCAAGCCCGCGCCAACTATTACACTGCCTACTGTAATCAGCTTGGTGTTGATCCTGGATCCAATCTCACTTGCTAATTAATTATTATGTGTACTTAATTATAAGGATGTACTTGTAAGAATAATTAATCAATAAGAGTCCTTCGACGGCAATCAGTTTCTTCTGATTGCTGATCTATCTATATAGATGAGTAGAGTGTACAAGGACTTTGTTACAACTCATAGAATAAAAAAAGTATAATATTGGAATTAATTTGAAAATTATAATATGCATGCAACGACAAACAAACAATAAAATAAGGAAAATTGATAGCAAGTGTTGGAGTCAAATTCTATCTCAACTCCAAAAACAACATGATTCTCTGAATTCTCAAGAAATATTCCCTCAGTTTTCTCAAGAATTGATCTCTTTCTCTGACTAGAACTTTCTGTCTCTAAATTCTAGTTAGAAATTCTCAAAAATAGCGAAAAAGGTCCATTTCCCTTAGGGGTTCGGGTATTTATAGGGTGCGTTTGGAATTGATTCCAAAACGTTTTTGTTTTCTGTACGAAAATGGAAATGAAAACGTTTTCATTTTCATTTTTGAATTATTTCTGAAAATGTGTTTGGTAGTTTTATTTAGAGATTGATTTCAGTTTAAAAAAAAACTGAAACTGCATTTTGTGGTTTAATTTTTAAAAACATGTAATAATTTATTAAATAATAATATATTAAATAAATAATATTATTAAATATATTAAAT